TCCTCCACGTGAACCTTAGAGGGTACCAGGTGCTTTCCTGTGCATCAGCCCTTCACTTATTTCTTCCTTTATTCCCGAATATTCACAGTGTTTCCTGCGCCCCGGACCTGAGCATCCAGCAGCAAACCAGAGGATCTCTGCTGTTTTGCAACTGTGTCTTTAATGGCAGAGAGCTCCTCCTGCCCCCCCCCCCAATCCAGGGGGCTGCATACCTTCGACAGGCCAGGTAGCCAATGTTTTCCATGTGCATGGCTCCATGTTGTCTCTCTCTTTCTCCTTCCTTCTCCTCCTCCTTCACATCTGTTTAAATCTTGCAAGAACACTCTTGGCTTGTGAGTTAGACACAAGCGGTTTGCAGGCTGAGGTGGCTTCACCACCAAGTGACCAGAGACACACAGAGTCCAGCAGCCTGCACAAAGCTCCGCTCTCACTCAGGCTCCCGACACAGCTGGGTGGGTGGCGTCCCCCCTCCCTACTCTGTCCTGCCCCGCCTGGGACCACAGGGGCCCTGCTGGCCGAGACCTGCCTTCTTCTCTCTGAGCCGCAGAATGCTGGCCACTTTTATGGCTCCCAGGAGGCTCCAGGTCCCTCCTGATGCCGTGGGTCCCCGCATCCCTCCTGGAGGAGACTCTGCCGCCTTGCTCAGGTCTGCATTGCCTCCTAGACCCGACGGGTTTTCCCCAAGCCCGGCCGCCAGCATCTGAGTCCAGCGAGACAGAACCCTTGCAGGATCAGGCCGTTCCACTCACGACTCACAGATACCGAGGGGCAGTCCTCAGAACCCAGGACCCATGGCGAGTGCCCCAGGCTCGGGAGAGCCCCAGGGCGGAGGGGGTCTTGTCAGCACAGGCCTGCTCCTCACGGCCACGGAGGGACTTGGAAAGCACCACGCCCTGGGTGTCTCTCTCTCCCGGAAGCCACCGGGCTCCCTTCTTTCCTCCCAAGTTTTCTTTTTCTTTTTTTCTTGAGGTAGGATCTTGCTCTGTTGCCCAGGCTGGAGTGCAGTGGCATGAGCCTACCCCACTGTAGCCTCAGACGCCCAGATTTGGCTCAAGCGAGCCTCTCACTTCAGCCTTCTGGGTAGCCAGGGCTACAGGCATGCACCACTGTGCCTGGTTTTTTTTTTTTTTTTTTTTTTTTGTAGAGATGAGGTCTTGCTATGTTGCCCAGGTTGGTCTCAGACGCCTGGCCTCAAGCCATCCTCCCGCCTTAGCCTCCCAACGTGCTAGGATTATAGATGTCAACCTCCACGCCTAGCTTCTTCCTCAGTTTTCTTACCAAGGTTCCATTTGTGCCAACCTCCAAGAAGGGGTCCTAGGTAGGAGGAGAACCTTCCAGTATCTCATGATGACTTTGCCAAGTACCCCCTGGCTGCTAAATGGTGGAGCTGTTGGAACTTAGGGAAAACCAATGCAGCACCAAATCCAAGACTCTCACCACCACGCCCTGCTCTTTCTTTGAAAAGAGAGGAGGAAATTCCCATCTTGGAATGTAGGAGAGAAAATGACCCCCTACAGTTTTGGGGGTCCATGCCTTTTTTAAAGTGTTGGCTTTCCGTGGGTCTCTGCAGGGAAGGGTGTTTTCTTTATGTGATTGGCGTTAGGGTCACACATTCCCAGCGGGACCTCCAGAATGTCCACGCCCGCACGTTCGCTGGGGGTGTGGGTGTCTGGGGTGTGCTCCAATGCCACATGAAAGATGCAAAGAACTGCACAGAAGCTAGATTAGAAAATATAGTTGATTTAGAAAGTAAATTGGAGAAAGAGGGAGAGAGGAAGAGGGCATTCACCTCCCCAAGGGAGGGGAGGGGGCCAAAGCTTAAGAAAACATGGCCTGGCCGCAGCTCAGAGAACACATGACCACACCGGAGCTTACCAAGGCAGCGGCAACGTGGCTGCTCGTGGCTGAGTCCTCTTAGCCATTTCCCTTGGAGGGGCCAGGTCGTCAAGGTGGTTGGGTGGTGGTCTGCGTCACATCATCACTGAGGGGCCGGTAAGCACAGGTGATGGGCAGAGGCAGATGGGTGGGTTAGTCACATGACTGCTGCCATGCTTGCAGGCGGTTCTGTCTGTGACATGAAAGTCACAAAAGAGCCGGGCTCGGTGGCTCAGCCTGTCATCCCGCACTTTGGGAGGCCGAGGGAAGCGGATTGCCTGAGTCCGAGGGTTCAAGACCTGCCTGGGCAACTTGGCGAGACCTCATCTCTACAGTCAATCAAAAAATCAGCCGGGCGTGGTAGCACGCGCCTGTAATTCCGGTTTCTCGGAAGGCTGAGGCGGAAGGATCGCCAGAGCCCAGCAGGTCGAGGCTGCGGTGGCCGGGAGCGGCCACTGCACTCCAGTCTGGGCGACAGAGTGAGACTCCAATTCAAAAAAAAAAAGAAAGTCACAAAAGGCTATTTAGGTTTATTTAAGGGTGTGGGCCCGGAGGGGATTTTCCTGCAAGAGACTTGCCAGACACTGGCAGTCCACAACCTCTTTGACCAAAATGTTTTCTATTATCATTTCTAGGCTCTGTCCTTGTCTTGCATCTGATGGGATTTGCCAAGGGGCTGGGACAGGCTGCCTCTTGGCCTGCAGTAGAAGGTCTGAACGCTCCCTAAAATCTACCTGTTGGGAATTCGTCTTATCTATGTCTAACCTGTGCTAGACTCAGAGCGTGCCAGGATAAAGTCTCAGCAAAATGGTCATACTGAAGCAAAAAGACTAAACTCAGGAATAAACAAAGTTTATGCTCGGTTTCTGTAGGAGCCTCCTTTCATCTGGGGTCTCAGCTGCATGGGGGCTCTGTCCCCTCGGTCACTACCCTCCATTGACTGTGGATGGGCTTGTCCCTCTCACTTAAAATGGACCCCGGTGGGCAGCTCAAGGCGAGACGGAAAGTTCACCCCGGCTTCGGTGAGGTCAGGGGCAAGGGTTCCAGGAGCCAATTTCAAAGGGTCGGGACACCCAGGGAAAGGCAGGAATGGAGATGGTGGAGGAAGGGTGGCCCAGCCCTGGGGGCCTGTACAACTGGCTGGAGCCCCGCCTTGCAGGTGAAGGGAAGAACAAGACACACGGGAGCTCAGCCCAGGGTCCGGACACGCAGGTGCTCGGTCCGTGAGACCATTCCTCCTGCGGTCCCCGGACCGCAGTCACCCGGAGGCCCGTGGAGTCAAACGGGAGCTCAGGCTTTGCAGGCCTGAGTTTCACGCCAGGTCTCTGTAGGGACGGGCTTTGGGGTGCCACCTGGACTCCTCATGCTGCCGTGGCCCTGGGGCTAAGGAAAGCCTCGGGTAAGGGCCGGTCCACACCTGAGCTGGGAATGGACAAGGAGGAGGTGGATTCTTGGGAACTGGAGGGACCGGCAGGAACTCAAGCGGAGGTGCCACACCTCCACGGAAGGGCGGGCTAGGCAGACACTGTTTTCTTCCAAAGAGGCAGGCGTCCAGGGAGGGAGGCGTCCTGGGAGGCAGGGGACCTGGGAGGTGGGGGTCTAGGGTGGGAGGGGTCCTGGGAGGGAGGAGCCCAGGGAGGGAGGAGTTCCGGGAAGCAGAGGCCCTGGGAGGCAGGGGTCCTGGGAGGGCACCATCCAGCCAGGCTTCTTCCACATCAAGTCTTTGCCACATCTCCTTGCTGGGTGACTTCAGGCCGGTGACTCCGCCTCTCTGAACCTCTTCGGTCAATCACAGCTCCTTAAAGAACGGAACAAGAAACGAGATGCTGGCGGCGGTGGTCTCCGGAACCCCGATGGAGCCTGATTTTGTCTGACCCCCCTTCTGCTCCCCGGCTGGGTGGCCTGGGTTTGAGGTTGTGCAGGGAGACACCGGCTGCAGATTTGAGGCAGGGCTTGCCAATTCCTCTTCCCCTCTCTGCCCTGTGTCTCTCTCCCCCTCTCCCTTTCTTTCCCCTTCCTCTTACCTTCCCCCCTCTCCCCCCATCTGAGCACCCCCATGAACAGCTCCACCTGGTGAGGAAATGAGACCCCCTGCCAACAGCCCCGCGGGTGAGCTTGGACTTGGCACTTCCAGCCCGAGTCAGGCCTTCAGCACCCCAGGCCTGGCCCCCCGTGGATGGCCAGCTCCGGAGAGCCCCGCCCCCAGAACAGAAGCACAGCCCGGCCCTTCCCAGATCCTGGCCCCTGGGACCGTGAGAGGTAACAAAGTGGTGCTCAAGCCATGCATTTCAGGGGACCGGTTTCACCGTGGCAGGTGCCTGACCCTGTTCACCTCTCCCTCTGGGCTCTGGGGATCAGGAAGACAGAGAGGCGGGAGCCTGGAGGATTAGGCAAGAAAGCCCGCCATGTCCTGAGGCAACCTGTGGGGCAGAGCCAACGCTCCGCCCCGTGTGGGGGAATTCCACAGCCCCCCTCCCAAGCACACGTGCCTGGCCTGCCCTCGCCCTGGGGCCAGTGGCACTGATGGTGGTCATCGCAGCAGTGCTTTCTCTTTCTTCTTTTTTCTTTTTCTTGTTCTTTTTTTTGAGTCGGGGTCTCACTCTGTCACCCAGACTGAGTGCAGTGGCATGATCATGGCTCATTGCAGCCTCGACCTCCAGGGCTCAGGCGATCCTTCCGCCTCAGCCTCCCCGAGTAGCTGGGACGACAGGAACGTGGCACCACCCTCGGTTAAATTTTTAAAAATTTATCATAGAGACAAGGTCTCGCTGTGTTGCCCAGGCTGGCCTCGAACTCCTGGGCTCAAGCAATCCTCCCGCCTCAGCCTCCCAGAGTTCTGGAATTACAGGCAGGAGCCATGTGCCCGGCCTGCTCTGTCCTCTATGCTTGAAGTGTGGAATCCTCCCAAGCATCCCCCGAGGGAGGTCCGACTTCTCCCTCTATTTTACATAGGGGGAAACCGAGGCACAGAGAGGGGAAGCCAGCTCCCACGACCACACGGCCACCGCCAGGAAGTGAAGGCACTGGAACGCAGAACTGAGGAACCACCGTGGAGACTACCCCACCGGGGTGGGTGGAGGATCCCAGCTCCTGGGAGCCCAGAGACTCAGAGCTGAGACTTCACCATGGAGGCCGCCCAGTCGGGCCGGGTGGAGGCGCCCAACTCCTGTGCCAGCCCGGATGGGTCCCAGGATTCGCATCGGAAAAGAAACATGGGCCTGCACCGACACCAGGACCCGGCCTCTGCCCCGAGGGACCCAGGGACGGTACCGCTGCCTCCACTTGCGGCTCGTGCCACGGTTCCGAGGCCTCTGCGGCCAGAGTTCTGACCCAGGATTTGGCCCAGCTGCCTCCCCGGCGTCCCTCCCTGGCGAGCCTTGCACGGAGCAGGCCCCAGCAAGATCCCCTCGCTGTCCCCCATGCTGTTCCTGTGGGTCCCCTCGCCACCATGGGAAGCAGCGAATGAGCAACTGCATGCGCTCCAGCGTGAGCCTCCAGCCCTCTCTCCCCCCACCCCCCAGCATGGGGCGGGGTCCCTCTCACACCCCGGAGCCCCCTCCCTACTACCACCTCTGCCCATCCTGGCCCACCACACGCTTCCTCAGAGACCTCTGAGCTGGCCACACCCCCATGCCTGCCACACGTGGCCGTCTTCCACTTGGTCACCAGCATATCTCTAAGGACATGAGTCTCTATGACCGCTGGCCTGTTTGAATCCCCCCACCAGCCTCCTGGTACCCTCAGGCCTGCCGGAGGCCAGCTCTAGCAGGTCTGGGTTTCCTAAAGCAGGAACGGAATCGGCGAAAGAGAGAAAACTTGGACACTTGACTCTGTTGGGAGCAGGACAGTTGCCGTATATTGTCAGTTAACAGTGAGCTTTTAAATTATTCGTACAAGGAAAAGGACGAAGAAAATTCCTACAACAAAATGTAACCAGTAACTTCATCAATAACCTTGATTGAGATAAAAAGCAGAACAAAGCCGGGCTCGGTGGCTCAGCCTGTCATCCCGCGCCTTTGGGAGGCTGAGGTGAGTGGATTGCCCG